TAAAATTTTTATATTTTTTCTCTCTCTCTCTCTCTCTCTCTCTCTCTCTCTCTCTCTCTCTTTCTCTCTGATTTAGCATTAAAATAACTTGGCTCATAGCCTCTTTTTTAACTTGATTTGTAAACATTTAACGGCTGTATGCAATTGAAAATAATTTTCGGTTTATATTAAAAAAGTAATGAATATATATATATTGTATGAATATATATATATATTGTACACAATCGTTGAATTAACTTTGCCTCACACAAAATCCTATTTTTATGCACTGGAGATACAAATAATATTATAATACATATATCAATATAACAACTGCCAGTTTGTTAAATTGAAACGTGAATCCCCAATACCCATGTAGCGTAATGAGTGCATCGCAGACTTTGCGCAGCCAATCATAAATCGTTATTTTAAAGATTATATAATCACATTAAGACTAACTAATTTCATAAATTTTAACATCTTTAATCATTATTTTCAATGAGAAATGCATTTAATTCTTAGATACATGAAATAAAAAATGAATGACAAATATTTAAACGTCATTTATGGACTTGCTGTTGATTCCGCTCATTGAGCTCCATGGAGATGAAGAGATTCGAAATCGCGTAACAAAAACTGCGGAACGCTCGTGATTGGTTCTGCTCTCGTTCCGCGTTCCGCTATTCCGCATGAGTTTGCACCCTAATTCATTAGTCATAAATCAGAAATTAGAAGGAAATTGACCAATCACAGTCATCAATTTCCAACTTCTAACTTTTACGACTAATGGCTTATTGTAGAATGGTCACAGCATGTATTCTACAATAAGCCATTAATCATAAATCAGAAGTAAAACCTTATATCCACATTGCTAGAAATCGGTCCGAGACCTCGAAATCGAATTCTGTATCTTGAAACCAGATGAAAATTACAAATGTGAACGAATTTACTAGAATACTAATAATTTTATTGGTTAACATCTAATAAATTCGCTCACTTTTGTAATTTTCACCTCGTTTCAAGATACAGAATCGATCCTCAGAATAGACTTCCTCGGATGAAAGAATTGACCAATCGCAATGATCATGTGATCAAATTGTTCAAATGATTTGTTAATTTTTTCTCTGTCCGAGATCTCGGATTAATTTCTAGCATCGTGGACAGGCTTTAGAAACTGGAAATTGACCAATTACAGTTATCAATTTCCAACTTCTGATTTATGACTTATTATATATAATGGCTTATTGTAGAATAGCCATGAGACGGGGAGAGCATAGACTCTTGCATAATGCTTAAACATAATGCATAAGAAAATGAAACAATCAAAATCCTTTATTTCCTTCCTTTTCATAAAAGAAAGGATTCTGATTGGTTCATTTTCTTATGCCTCATGTTTTGCGTTATGCAAGAGTCTGTGCTCCCCGTTTAAGATATGTAAGATACATCATATTTGTTATGTAAAGTTATAAATTTTGCTAATTATATTTAATTATTCAGAATCAAAATACAAAATAATTTATTCTATTCAAGAA